GCTTACCTACACTTTCTATGTAGTATCTTATGGATCAGCTTCTCTACCTAGTGGTAATGCTTCAATCATGTTAGCCATTAGTGAGTAAACTAACTGAATTAAAATTTCCAGGAACTTGCATGTATAATACGTGTTCTTTTTAGGCAATCCAATAGTTAATGATTTTATGGCTACATTAATTACAAACTCTACCATTACATTAGCATGGAGTCCACCAACTGCTGTTGTACCAATTAGTTATAATATTGTTAGGGATTGTAGGAGAGTATGTGAATCATCAACAACTGGTAGTAGTGAAACATCAGTTTCATCACCACATACTTCAACTGGTATACCTTCTTACAGTCAATGTGGCTTTGATCTTAATGGAGTATATGGAGTTGAGAACACTATAGCCAAATTGAATAAAAACTATTCAGCTGAAACACTTTTAACTGGTAAAATAATAATTGCTATTGATAGCTATGTGTTATTTTATTACCAATCTAGCCCCTACTGCACCAGTGGATGATATTATATTCTCATCAGTAGAGTCAGTGTCAATGACTGTCTCATGGGATGAAGTACCTTGCAATGGAAGGAATGGACCAATTACTGGATACTACTTCACATACACTAGCATCACTTCAAACACTAGTTATACTGTTAATATCACTGGAGGAGACAACAGAATGTATAATCTCACAGGATTAATACCATATACTAACTATACTGTGAGTATAATACCTTATAATTATAATATGAATGGACCAGCTAGACAAGAAATACAATTAACTGCTGAATCAAGTAAGTCAATGAGATATTGATCAGTTTAACATGATCTTAACACAGTTCCTGGTGTGATATCTAATCTACTACATTCAAAAAACCCAGATGCAATACCTATTGTATGGAGTCCTCCTACAATACCTAATGGTATCATTACAGTATATGAGATAAGATATAGAGAGTCTACCAGTACTGGTTTATACACTATAACTAACACTACTAACACTTATTACAGTATAGTAGGATTGATACCTAATACTAGTTATACTATTGGAGTGAGAGCATATACTAGTATTGGACCAGGAGAATGGACTAATAGAGAATACACTACTATTGAAATACGTAATAAATTACTGAAAATTCTATGATGATAATGTCCAAACTTTTTTAGCTATCATTAAAACTTTCTCTATAACAAAGCTCAATTCTACAGCAGTGAGGGCTGAGTGGAGTTTTGTTTCTGGAGCTAGTCATTATACTGTCTATTATGAGTCAAGCAGTAGCTCCTCAAGAAAGAAGAGACAAGTAGAGACAGGAATGAGAGTATTCCCAGGTGATACTACTGAAGGTCTAATAGGAGGATTAGATCCTAATCTGAACTACTTGTTCTCTATATCTATATCATTTAATGTTAATGGAATCATTTATGAAGGAAAGAGGACTCAACCAATACCACCAGGTAAAAGTGAAATAACCACACTACAAGTACTTCAATAATGAGTATGTCTAGTATGACTGCAATACCAAAGTTAAGATCAAGTGATTTATGGTTTAATTACAGTTTGATATTGCTAAATGAATAGGTACTTCTGTAATGCCTACTACTACTACCAGTACTACTACTGATGGAGGCTCAATGACTATTGTTTTCATAACAGTTGGAGCTATTGTATCATTACTACTGATAGTCATAATAATTGTAATTATTATTGTAGTTGTGTTAAAGTAAGTGTTAAATTGTATGCAATGAATATTTAGTACATAACAGGAAGAAAAGATTTAATATAGTCAATTCAAAAAACAAACCAACTGCTGAACAAAACTCAACACCTTACAGTACAGCAATTAATAATAATGGAGGATATGAAGAGATTGGATGTATGTGCCAATGAAATTTTGTAATTAACTAATGAATGTATCTCAAGAATTGATGTATTTATTACACAGCATGAAGAGCTTATTGTTTTGTTTTTCTTATTACAGTAGAAAGAATTCAAGAGGCAACCTACAGTATTGTAATGGAGCCTATACTGCCAATGATAGAAGAATTCCCAAATGATGTGACAAGTGAGGAAGGATGTGAGGTTCTTTTGAAAGTTAAATTCAAGGGAACTCCTACCCCATCTTTTAATTGGTATCATAATGGAGAGCCAGTGACTGATGATTATGCTCATGAGCTTAGAGGAGATGGTAGTCTACTGCTAGTGAGTGTTGAGGAGAAACATAAAGGAACATATCGTTTTGTTGCTAATAATGATGCTGGAACAGTTAGTCAACAATTTGTACTCACAGTTGCAGTGGAAGGGGCCAGGATGCCAATTAATGGCACCTTAACAGCTAAAAGTGGTAAAAACTTAATACCTGTGGAACAATTTGGAGAATTTGTAGCTAATGGACATGCTAAAGGGAATGAGGGATTTAGAAATCAATTTATGGTAATAAGTATTATATTTCATGTATTCTCATTCACTCTTTTTGCCTCTTATGTTATTTTTGTTAATAGATGTTAGACAGAGGTGAAAGTGAACATATAGTAACAGTTGGTCTTAGTCCAAGCAATAAACTGTTGAATCGTTTTGCAAATATTGTAGTCTGTAAGTTAGTTAATGCTCTTGTCAGTCCATTATGTGCCATTAAACTTCATTTATTCTTCCCACTACTTTAAATG